TCCTCGAGCTCTTCATCACCTGACACGTGGGGCACGAGCCCACGTGCTGCTGCACGTCGATCAACAGCTCCGGCTAGTAGTAATACCGCTGCAGTTGCTGTCGCGTTTTTTCTACCCCAAAATGTCCCGAGGTAATTCCGTCGTGTGCCTCCTGTAGTAGCAGCTCCCTCAGTAGTGAGTACGCGGGTACCCAGATGCGGTTGGTGCCTGTTTTTACGTAATAAACTCCTTTAGCTTCTGCCAGTTGCTGTGAATTTCCGGCCGTGAAAAACGGGTCGGTGCGGTATCCGTGGGTGAATAGGCCTGTTAAAAGTGGGTTGTTTTGGGCGAGTAGGATGGCGTGGAGTTGGGCGGTAGGGCGGGTGAGTGCGTCGGCGATGTTGGATGCGCCTTTCTTGTACGTAACCGTGTAGTGGAAGTTGGACTCGAGGTAGTCCAACCAGCGAATCTGTCATGGATTGAGATTCGGTTGGGCGCGTAAGTACTGTAGTGATCGGTGGTCTGTCCGTACTGTCATGTCGGCGCCAGTCAGGTAGCACCGCCAAACCTTGAACGCATGCACGATCGCCAACATTTCGCGGTCGTGTATCGGGTAATTGCGTTCGGGCGGGTGCAGCTTGCGGGACTCGTACGCGATTGGCTGGAGGCCGTTCCCGAAATCCTGCAACAGTACTGCTCCCACAGCGATGTCACTTGCGTCAGTGACGAGCTCGAACGGACGGTGTGGATCTGCGACGTGAAGCACGGGCAGTGAGCACAAAATGTTTTTGAGGGCCGAGAAGGCAGCTTGCTCTTTCTCCCCCCATGTGTGCTCAACCCCCTTCCTCAGCAGGTCTGTCAGCGGGGCAGTCAGCTTCGCCATGTCGAGGACGAACCGGCGCACGTAGTTGACGAACCCCAGAAAACTCTGCAACTCGGTGAAGTTGGTCGGCGCGTGCCATGCTTGAATCGTCGCAATTTTCTTCGGGTCTATTTCCACTCCTGCAGCTGAAATAACGTGTCCCAAAAATTCCAGGCGGTCCTGTAAAAACTCACACATAGACGCTTTTGTCAGTAGGCGGTTCTCACTCAGTATTTTAAAAATTGCTTCGATGTCCTGTAAGTGTTGTGCTCTGTCAGGGCCGTAAATCAGTATGTCGTCCAGGTATACGATGACGCACTTATCTAAGAGCGGGCGGAAAGCTTTGTTCATGGTCATTTGAAAAGTGGCGGGGGCGTTGGTCAGTCCGAAGGGCATGACGGTGTATTCGAAAGATCCGTAGCGTGTTTGAAATGCGGTCTTAGAGCTGTCGGGCGGATTGACGCGAATCTGGTGGTAACCCCCTCGAAGGTCGATTTTCGAGAAAACCCGTGCTGTGCGCAGTTGGTCGATCAGTTCGCCGGCTCGCGGGATGGGGTAACGGGATTTAATGGTAACTGTCAGAATCCCAACCAATAGACCATTGGGATAAAAGGGCTTTTTTTCAGTAGCAGGTTAGTGCGCCCATAACCCCCCAGGCGAACGCGCCTGTAACCCTCTCCAGGATCAATCGGGCATCCACAGTGCAGATCTACTGACACCCCCCCACACTGGGAGGGCCAGGACTAAGCACAGCGGCAATGGCCTACATGTGCATACACCGGGAATCGAACGCGAGACCGCTCTGATACCATGTCAGAATCCCAACCACTAGACCATTGGGATAGAAGGGTTTTTTTTCAGTAGCGGGTCAGTGCGCCCATAACCCCCCAGGCGAACGCGCCTGTAACCCTCTCCAGGATCAATCGGGCATCCACAGTGCAGATCTACTGACAGTAACCCTGTTCAGTGTTCTGTAATCTATGCACATGCGAAATCCCCCGTCTTTTTTCGGTGTGAACAGTATCGGTGCTGCGAAGGGCGACGAGCTAGGGCGAATGATTTCCTTCTCGAGCAGGTAATCGAGTTGCTTCCTCAATTCGTCCAGTTCGAGCCGGGTCAGTCGGAACTGTCGCTGTACTGTTGGCTGTGCCCCCAGTTCTAACTCTATCCTGTGGTTGTGCGGTCGCTGAGGTGGCAGTCCCGTCGGTAAATCGTCCGGGAAAATGTCGCTGTATTGCTTCAACAGTGCTGCCAGGTCACTCGGTATGTCGGCCAGCAGTTTCTGTAAATCCCCTCCTTTTTCTACTACCTCGGCTTCCCGAATGTCGACCGCGTACACGTCAGCTCCTGCCGCTACGACACGTTTCATCGTGATCGCGTTGACACGCACCGACGAAGACTCAGGTGAGCCCCAGCAAGGTAAGGCGATGTTGTTACCGTTCACTCGCACGGTGCAGTCACCCGTCATCCAGTCGATTCGCGGATTGTGTCGTCGCAGCCAATTACGCCCGAGTAAAATATCGGTTCCGTCGAGGGTCGTTGCGTGCATTTCCTGGCTAAACGTGAAGTTACCCCCACATCGAATCCGAACCCGGTCTACGCGTTCCCGTATCGTGAGCGGCATGCCGTCTACTAGTCTTGCGTCGATCTCAGGTAAGCATCTGTCCAGTGGAAGTCGCAGTTTTCGTGCTGTGGCAATGTTGATGAGGCTGTGGCTGGCTCCCCCGTCTACGAAGATTTTTACTAAGTCCGTCCCGATTTTTCCACTAAGCAGTATGGGGCTGTCTACCGTAGTACCCTCCTTATTCGGCCGGGTGTGGTCGATTGCGTGAGCCGGCACAATCACTCGATGAGGGTCGGTTGGGTCGGGCGAGCGGCGTGACCTGCCAGTAGAGGGCATGTCTGCTACTGACTCCTAGCGTTTCCCTGCTGCTTGGTATGTTTCTGCTGCTCAGCTTCCCCCTTTCCCTTAGCGTTTTCCGGGCATTCGCTTTTGCGATGTCCCGGCCGATTGCACGCAAAGCAGCGCCCTTTGAACGGTGCGGTAGCGGCATTTGCGGCGACGGCACGTATCATGGCGCCCTCGCTCGTCCCACGAGGCCGATGTCTCCAATGGCTGCTTTTGTAGAACCCCGGTCTCGGTCGGCGGAAGAAATCAAGTTTCTCCGCCATAGCGAGAATTTCTTGAAAGTCGGTGACGCCGCAAAGCTGGATTTCCTAAGTGATGTCCTGCTTCAGGGCGCCGATGTAGCGATCGATGCGCTCGCTCTCGTGCATATATCCCACCTGCTCGCATAGCGCCAGAAATCCGCTCGTGTTGTCTTGGACGGAACCGAGTTGGCGCCAAGTGCGGAGCTTCTGTCGCGCCGCGATCGAAGCCGCGATTGGCTCGAAACGAGCGCGCAGACATGCGCACTACGCGTCCCACGTGCGATACTGGGGCACTGTCAGAATCCCAACCACTAGACCATTGGGATAAAAGGGCTTGTTTCAGTAGCGGGTCAGTGCGCCCATAACCCCCCATGCAAACACGCCTGTAACCCCCCCTAGGATCGATCGGGGATCTCACAGTGTAGCTCTACTGACACCCCCCCACACTGGGAGGCCCAGGACTGAGCACAGTGGCAACGGCCAACATGTGCATACACCGGGATTCGAACCCGAGACCGCTCTGATACCATGTCAGAATCCCAACCACTAGACCATTGGGATAAAAGGGCTTGTTTTAGTAGCGGGTCAGTGCGCCCATAACCCCCCAGGCAAACGCGCCTGTAACCCCCCCTAGGATCGATCGGGGATCTCACAGTGTAGCTCTACTGACAGGCACTGTCACAACATTATAGCTTATGCTTTTGTGTAGGCTGTAGTGGGGTAGCTTATATGGGGTACAACCCAATTAGGGTTAGTACTTGTACCCAACTCTTTCATACTGCATTCATTTTCGTTCATTTTCACATGGTATCAGAGCACATATGCTCCTGGCCTGTAAGCCCTACTACTGCTTCCGCTGCTACTCGATCTGTCGCACACCCCGTGGCGTGCGACCTATTTTTGCGCGCGGCGATTTTCTCTCTGGCGCGCGCCCCGAGGCGCGCGGCCCCGTTCCTTCTAGGCGCGCCACTCCCCGCTACCCCGTCGCGGCCCCATCTCATCGCGCCGCCCTAGCGGCCGCGTCGCGCCGCCCTCGCGGCCCCGATCCGCCGCCCTAGCGGCCCCGTCACCTACCCCTGCGGCCCCGGCGCCGCCCATCCCGGCCCCGGCTCCGCCCTTCCTAGCCCCGGCGCCACCTCGGCTGGCCCCGTCGCCTACCCCGGCGACCCCGACGCCGCCCTTCCCGACCCGGCCCCGCCTCTGCTGGCCCCGTCGCCTGCCCCTGCGGCCCCGGCTCTGCCCTTCCTGGCCCCGGCGCCACCTCGGCTGGCCCCGTCGCCTACCACGGCGACCCCGACGCCGCCCTTCCCGACCCGGCCCCGCCTCTGCTGGCCCCGTCGCCTACCCCTGCGGACCCGGCGCTGCCCTTCCCGGCCCCGGCGCCACCTCTGCTGGCCCCGACGCCGCCCTTACCGGCCCCGGCGCCGCCTCTACTGTCCCCGTCGCCTACCTCTGCGGCCCCGGCGCCGCCCTTCCCGGCCCCAGCGCCGCCTCTGCTGGCCCCGTCACCTACCCTGCGGCCCCGGCGCCACCTCTGCTGGCCCCGTCGCCGCTCCACCCGGCCCCGCCGCCGTCCCCAAGCGGCCCCGCCGTCACCACCGAGCCGCCGGCGCCGCCGAGCTGCTACCGAGCCGCCCGAGCCGCAGCGCCACCTGAGCCGCCCGAGCCGCCGGGTCGCCGAGCCGCCGAGCTGCAGTTGCTGCCGAGCCGCCGTACCGCCGAGCCGCCCGAGCCGCCCGAACCGCCGAGTCGCCGAGATGCAGTTGCTGCCGAGCCGCCCGAGTCGCCCTAGCCGCTGAGCCGCAGTTGTTGCCGAGCCGCCGTGCCGCCGAGCCGCCCGCACCGCCGAGTTGCCGAGTCGACGAGCCTGCTCTTCCCACCACTGGTGAGCCCCTGCCCTGCTAGCGCGCTGCCCGCCGCTTGCTTACCTGCCTGCCTGCCTTTCGGCCTGCCTGGCTGCCTGCCTTACTACTGCTACTCCTGCTCCTGCTTCTACTGGCGGAGCCAGATGCAGCCCCAGCGTCGTCCGCGTGAGTCCCTCACGCCCCAGCAGCTGCGTGAGTGGTACGCTGGTTGGGGTTGTAGGGGTGGCGGCGCTGCTACTGTTACCACTACTGCTGCTACTACTACTGGCGGCGGCCAGATGCAGCTCCAGCGACGCCCACGCGCGTCTCTCACGCCCCAGCAGCTTCGTGAGTGGTACGCTCAGAGTAGAGGGTCTCTCAGTTCTGTTCGCTGCTCTTACGTGATTCGCACTGGTGCTTGGACTGGTCAGCCTTGTGGGACACCTAGTCACACACAGTCCCGCTGCTTCGCCCGTCTGAGCGACGCCTGGCGTACCGAGTTTGGCGACGAGGCTGAGCTCCCCGACTGGGTGGAGTTACTTAGGCAGAGGGTAGATATATTTGCTCTTGACTATGATGCTATTCTCACTGCCATGTATGAATTGCCTACTAGTGCTGACTGTGCCGGTCACCTGTGCATACTACCTGACCCGGGTATAGAGCCTGCTGCTCTAGCTGCTGGTGAGGCTGCTGCTCTGGGTGCTAGTGAGTCTCCTGCTCTAGGTACAGGTGCGGCTGCTGCTCTAGGTGCTAGTGAGTCTGCTTCCTCAGGTGCGGGTGAGTCTGCTCTCTCAGGTACCGCGTCGGCTCCGGCCTCTCACACCTTCACTCTTGACTCGGGGGCTTCCCGCTCCTTCTTTCGAGACCGCACCACACTCACCCCGCTTGGTCGGCCAGTTGCAGTCTCTCTGGCAGACCCCTCTGGGGGTCCTGTCCTTGCTCACTTCTCCACTGTCCTCCCGTGTCCGGCGGCCCCCTCTGGCACCCTGTCTGGTCTTTACCTCCCCTCGTTCTCTACAAACTTGGTGAGTGGTGCTGACCTACAGGATGCGGGGGTTCACCAGTTCACTCCTGCGAGTCAGCGGGTGACCCACTGCACGGACGCTCGGACTGGCCGATACCTGGCCACGTTTACACGTCGGCCGGGGTCGAGCCTGTACACGCTAACCACTGCGTCTCCTCCAGTCACTGCGTTTAGTCAGGTAGCTGCGTCGGGTCAGGTGTTTGCTGCAGCGTCCAGGTCTGGTCTTGAGTCTTCCCCCTGCTCGTGTCGTCTCCTGTCCCACGAGACTCTTCTCTGGCACCACCGCCTTGGTCACCCCTCCCTGCTTCGTCTCCGAAGCATGGCCTCCCGTGTCCTTGTCTCTGGTCATCCCCGGTCCCTCCCTCCCCTTCCTCCGGGGCCTGGCCCTACCTGCGTCCCCTGTGTCGAGGGGCGGCAGCAGGCTGCCCCTCACTCCTCTCAGTTTCCTCCGACAGAGGCCCCGCTGCAGACGGTTCACATGGACGTGTGCGGCCCGGCCCGCGTCCGTGGATAGGGTCACGAGCGCTACTTCCTGCTGGTGGTTGACGACTACTCGCGTTACACCACAGTCTTCCCCTTGCGCAGCAAGGGTGATGTCACTGAGGTGTTGATCGACTGGATCTGCGCAGCTCGTCTCCAGCTCAGGCGGAGCTTCGGCTCGGACTATCCTGTTCTGCGTCTGCACTCTGACAGAGGCGGAGAGTTCTCCTCTGGCCTTCTGCGAGCCTACTGTCGTGCACGAGGCATCCGCCAGACCTTCACGCTTCCGGACTCTCCACAACAAAATGGGATTGCTGAGCGCCGCATTGGCATGGTCATGGACGTCGCCCGTACGTCCATGATGCATGCGGCTGCCCCCCATTTTCTGTAGCCGTTTGTGGTCCGGTACGCGGCGCATCAGATCAACCTTCAGCCCAGGGTCTCCATGCCGGAGACCTCCCCAGCTTTGCTGTGGACGGGGAAGGTTGGCGATGCGTCTGCGTTCCGTGTCTGGGGATCTCGGGCGTTTGTCCGCGACTTGTCTGCGGACAAGCTGTCCCCTCATGCTGCTCCCTGCGTCTTCCTGGGTTTCCCCCCTAACGCGCCAGGGTGGCAGTTCTATCACCCCACCTCTCGCCGTGTTCTGTCCTCCCAGGACGTCACGTGCGACGAGTCGGTCCCCTACTACCGTCTCTTCCCCTACCGCACTCCGTCCCTCCCCCCGCCACCGCTCTTCCTTGTGCCAGGTCCCCCCCCGGTAGACCCCCTCCCCCCTCAGGGTCCTGCCCCTTCAGGTGTGTCCCAGGTAAACGCTGTTGAGCCTCTCGAGGTCGCTGGTGACTCTGGTGCTACTGAGGGTGCTGAGCCTGGGGGTGCTGACTCTGGGGGTGCTGAGCGTGTGGGTGCTACGCCTGGGGGTGCTGAGCCTAGGGGTGCTGAGCCTGGGGGTGCTGAGCCTGGGGGTGCTGAGCCTGTGGGTGCTGAGACCGGGGGTGCTGAGCCTGGGAGTGCTGAGCCTGGGGGTGCTGAGCCTGGGGGTGCTAAGCCTGGGGGTGCTACGCCTGGAGGTGCTAAGCCTGAGGGAGCTGGGCCTGCTCGTGTGACGTCTGGCGGTGCTGTGCCTGGCGGTTCTCCGGGTGCTTCGTCTCGCCGAGAGCCACTCTCTCCACAGGAGCTGCGTGAGTGGTTTGCCCGGCGCTGGAGACGAGCTGCTGGAGCTGGAGGTGCTGCGGGTACTGGAGGTTCTGGTGCTGCTGAGGGTGCTGGTGCCGCGGGTCCCGGAGGTGCTCGTGCTGGGAGTACTGGAGCTGCTGGGCCTGTGGGTACTTCTGGAGTTGGAGCTACTGCGGGTGTTGACGCGGTGGCTACTGCTGTCGGTCCTGGAGGCGGTCCTGCTGGGGGTGCTACTGGTGCTGCTGGAGGTACTGGAGCTGGAGGTGCTGCTGGTGCTGGTGCTGCCGCTGGGGGTACTGGTGCTGTCCCTGCTGTGTCTGGAGTCGCCGCGCGTCCTCGGCCGTACTTCGTTCCGCTCCTTCAGCAGGTTCTTGGTCTCCCGCCTTCTACTGGTCCTCCTCCTCCCTTCGAGTGTCCACAGCCTGTCCCGTCACAGTTACAGCTACAGCCGGCCTCCCCACTGCCTGCTCCGTCTCCCTACACTCGTCCTACTAGAGGTCTTGCTGAGCGTTGTGAGCGTGCGTCTCGCCCTACGTCGCCTGTCCGTGCTGCTCGCACTAGTGGTCGCGGTTCGCGTCAGCGTCCTCCTCCTGTCCCAGGCACACACCGGATGTCTCTGCGTCCGTCCAGTGCTCCTCTGCGTGCCCCTTTACCTTCTCCTCCTGAGTCTTCTCTTCCTGCTCTTGCCGACCCGAAGTCGGACTCTCTTCATGCTGCCAGTCCTACTGTCACGCGTCTCCTTGCTACTGTTGTCACTGACCCTTCCTTTGAGTCCACTGCTGCGTCTGCCCTAGTTGCTGAGCTCGTCGACTTTGCTGCTCGCTGTCGCCTCGACTACGCCGCCAGTCTTGTTGCTGAGTCTGAGTCTGTCTGTCCTCCGTCCGTCGGGGGTGAGTGTGCCCTTGGCACGGACGTCCTTGAGGACAGGCAGGAGGAGTTCCAGTGTCTGGCTGCTGCTTCACCTCATCTCGTGTCCGTACTGCTTACCCCTGAGGGAGACCCGGATGCACTTGACATCCCGACTCCGCGCTCTTACGCGGAGGCGATAGAGGGTCCCTACTCCTCTCAGTGGCAGGCAGCTATGGACGCAGAGATGGCTTCCTGGAAGTCCACAGGCACCTACGTTGACGAGGTTCCCCCGCCTGGGGCAAACATCGTCAGTGGCATGTGGATTTTCAGGGTGAAGCGGCCGCCGGGTTCTCCGCCTGTCTTCAAGGCGCGTTACGTGGCTCGTGGCTTCAGTCAGCGGTAGGGAGTTGACTACTTTCAGACCTTCTCTCCCACCCCGAAGATGACCACTCTTCGGGTATTGCTGCACATAGCTGCTCACCGTGACTACGAGCTTCACTCTCTTGACTTCAGCACAGCTTTCCTGCAGGGCAGCCTGCACGAGGAGATGTGGCTGCGCCGCCCACCTGGCTTCACTGGGTCTTTTCCTCCTGGCACCCAGTGGAGCCTCCGGCGGCCAGTCTACGGTCTCCGCCAGGCACCGCGTGAGTGGCACGACACACTGAGGACTACACTTGCGGCTCTTGGGTTTGCTCCCTCTACTGCCGACCCGTCGCTGTTTCTGCACACCGACACTTCTTTGCCGCCGTTCTACATCCTCGTGTTCGTCGACGACTTGGTCTTTGCCACAGCTGACACTGCTGGACTCGCCCACGTGAAGTCCGAGCTGCAGAAGAGACACACGTGCACAGATCTGGGTGAGCTGCGTAGCTACCTTGGCTTGCAGATCACCCGGGACAGAGCACGCCGCACCATTACCCTGACTCAGTCACACATGGTGCAGCAGGTCCTTCAGCGCTTCGGCTTCACGTACTCCTCGCCTCAGGCCACTCCTCCGCCTACTCGCCACTCGCTCTCAGCTCTGCCTTCGGATGAGTCCGTAGAGTCGAGTGGCCCGTACCCAGAGCTTGTTGGCTGCCTCATGTACCTGATGACCTGCACTCGACCTGACCTTGCATACCCTCTTAGCATTCTCGCACGCTATGTTGCTCCTGGGAGACACAGACCGGAGCACATGGCTGCAGCGAAGAGGGTGTTGCGCTACTTGTGCAGTACGTCAGGCATGGGGCTTGTGCTTGGAGGGCAGAGTCCAGTGGTCCTCACTGGGCACGCAGACGCTTCTTGGGCTGACGACCAGGCTACGCAGCGGTCCTCACAGGGTTACACCTTCAGCCTTGGTTCCGGCTCTGTTTCGTGGCGGGCTACCCGCTCGTCTTCTGTTCTCGGCTCCAGTTGTGAGGTTGAGATCTACGCCGGGGCCATGGTTGCACAGGAGCTTCGCTGGCTCACCTACCTGCTGACTGACTTTGGAGAGCCGCCTCGTTCTCCTCCAGTGCTGTACGTAGACAACAAGGCCATGCTGGCCTTGTGTCAAGAGCAGAGACTTGAGCATTGAACGAAGCACATTGCTCCCCGCTACTTCCTTGCTCGTGAGCTGCAGCAGCGTGGTCAGCTGCGTCTTGCGTACGTGGCCTCTAAGGCCAACACTACTGATATATTCACCAAGGCGCTTGCGCCTTGTGATCATCAGCGCTTCTGTACTCAGCTGGGTCTTGTGCCTGCCTTGCCTCACTTGCTCACCTCTTGACCTTGCTTGTACTGTTACATATTTCAAATTATAATATTGTGTAGGCTATAGTGGGGTAGCCCATATGGGGTACACATGTCTAGGGTTGCATATTTGTATCACTTCCATTCCTAAGTCACTCATTTCTCGTTCTAAGTTTCTCAACATACACATATACACCTGCTCTTGCTTGTCTAGCCTTTTATATATATATGTACTCCTGCATGTGAACTGGCCTTGTGGCCTTGACCTTGTGCTCGGAATGTGTGGTGACTTTGTGATCCACCCTGAGCTTGCTTTGCTTTGCTTTGCTTGACTGGTCTTGTGACCCCTTGTACTCCCCCACTTTGCCTATGGGGGTGTGTCATAACATTATAGATTTTGCTTTTGTGTAGGCTGTAGTGGGGTAGCCTATATGGGGTACAACCCAATTAGGGTTAGTGCTTGTACCCAACTCTTTCATACTGCATTCATTCTCGTTCATTTTCACAGGCACGTGAGAAGAAACGAGAATGAATGAACTATGAAACAGTTGGGTACAAGTTCAAACCCTAATTAGGTTGTACCCCATATGGGCTACCCCACTACAGCCTACACAAAAGCATAAGCTATAATGTTCTGACACACCCCCATAGGCAAAGTGGGGGAGAACAAGAGGTCACAAGACCGGTCCAGCAAAGCAAAGCAAAGCAAGCTCAGGGTGGATCACAAAGTCACCACACATTCCGAGCACAATTTCAAAGGCCACAAGGCCAGTTCACATGCAGGAGTACATATATATATATAGAAAGCTAAACAAGCAAGAGCAGGTGTATATATATGTAACAGTACAAGCAAGGTCAAGAGGTGAGCAAGTAAGGTAAGACAGGCACAAGACCAAGCTGAGTACAGAAGCGCTGATGATCACAAGGCGCAAGTGTCTTGGTGAAGACATCAGCAGTGTTGGCCTCAGAGGCCACGTTTGCAGGTTGCAGCTAACCACGCTGCTGCAGCTCACGAGCAAGGAAGTAGCGAAGAGCAATGTGCTTCGTTCTGTGCTCCAGTCTCTGCTCTTGACACAAGGCCAGCATGGCCTTGTTGTCTACGTACAGCACTGGAGGAGAACGAGGCACCTCTCCAAAGTCAGACAGCAGGTAGGTGAGCCAGCGAAGCTCCTATGCAGCCATGGCCCCGGCGTAGATCTCAGCCTCACAACTGGAGCCGAGAACAGAAGACGAGCGGGTAGCCCGCCACGAAACAGAGCCGGAACCAAGGCTGAAGGTGTAACCCTGTGACGACCGCTGCGTAGCCTGGTCGTCAGCCCAAGAAGCGTCTGCGTGCCCAGTGAGGACCACTGGACTCTGCCCTCCAAGCACAAGCCCCATGCCTGACGTACTGCACAAGTAGCGCAACACCCTCTTCGCTGCAGCCATGTGCTCCAGTCTGTGTCTCCCAGGAGCAACATAGCGTGCGAGAATGCTAAGAGGGTATGCAAGGTCAGGTCGAGTGCAGGTCATCAGGTACATGAGGCAGCCAACAAGCTCTGGGTACGGGCCACTCGACTCTACGGACTCATCCGAAGGCAGAGCTGAGAGCGAGTGGCGAGTAGGCAGAGGAGTGGCCTTAGGCGAGGAGTACGTGAAGCCGAAGCGCTGAAGGACCTGCTGCACCATGTGTGACTGAGTCAGGGTAATGGTGCGGCGTGCTCTGTCCCGGGTGATCTCCAAGCCAAGGTAGCTGCGCAGTTCACCCAGGTCTGTGCACGTGTGTCTCTTCTGCAGCTCGCACTTTACGTGGGCGAGTCGAGCAGTGTAAGCTGTGGCAAAGACCAAGTCGTCGACGTACACGAGGATGTAGAACGGCGGCAAAGAAGTGTCGGTGTGCAGAAACAGCGACGGGTCAGCAGTAGAGGGAGCAAACCCAAGAGCCGCAAGTGTAGTCCTCAGTGTGTCGTGCCACTCGCGCAGTGCCTGGCGGAGACCGTAGACTGGCCGCTGGAGGCTCCACTGGGTGCCAGGAGGAAATGTCCCAGTGAAGCCAGGTGGGCGGTGCAGCCAGATCTCTTCGTGCAGGCTACCCTGCTAGAAAGCAGTGCTGAAGTCAAGAGAGTGAAGCTCGTAGTCGCGCTGAGCGGATATGTGCAGCAGCACTCGAAGAGTGGTCATCTTCGGGGTGGGAGAGAAGGTCTGAAAGTAGTCAACTCCCTGCCGCTGACTGAAGCCACGAGCCACGTACCGCGCCTTGAAGACAGGTGGAGAACCCGGCGGCCGCTTCACCCTGAAAATCCACATGCCACTGACGATGTTCGCCCCAGGTGGGGTAACCTCGTCAACGTAGGTGCCTGTGGACTTCCAGGAAGCCATCTCTGCGTCCATAGCTACTTGCCACTAAGAGGAGTAGGGACCCTCTATCGCCTCCGCGTAAGAGCGCGGAGTCGGGATGTCAAGTGCATCCGGGTCTCCCTCAGGGGTAAGCAGTACGGACACGAGATGAGGTGAAGCAGCAGCCAGACACTGGAACTCCTCCTGCCTGTCCTCAAGGACGTCCGTGCCAAGGGCACACTCACCCCCGACGGACGGAGGACAGACAGACTCAGACTCAGCAACAAGACTGGCGGCGTAGTCGAGGCGACAGCGAGCAGCAAAGTCGACGAGCTCAGCAACCAGGGCAGACGCAGCAGTGGACTCAAAAGAAGGGTCAGTGACGACAGTAGCAAGGAGACGCGTGATAGTAGGACTGGCAGCACGAAGAGAGTCTGACTCCGGGTCGGCAAGAGTTGGAAGAGAGGACTCAGGAGGAGAAGGCAACGGGGCACGCAGAGGAGCAGTGGACGGACGCAGAGACATCCGGTGCGAGCCAGGGACAGGAGGAGGACGCTCACGCGAACTATGACCACTAGCACGAGCAGGACGGACAGGCGACGCAGGGCGAGACGCAGGCTCACGACGCTCAACAAGACCTCCAGTAGGACTAGTGTAGGGAGAAGGAGCAGCTAGTGGGGAGGCGGGCTGTAACTGTAACTGGGACGGGACAGGCTGTGGACACTCTAAGGGAGGAGGAGGACCAGTAGAAGGCGGGAGACCAAGAACCTGCTGAAGGAGCGGATCGAAGTACGGCCGAGGCCGCGCGGCGACTCTTGACACAGCAGGGACAGCACCAGTACCCCCAGCGGCAGCACCAGCACCAGCAGCACCTCCAGCTCCAGTACCTCCAGCAGCACCAGTAGCACCCCCAGCAGGACCGCCTCCAGGACCGACAGCAGTAGCCACCGCGTCAACACCCGCAGTAGCTCCAACTCCAGAAGTACCCGCAGGCCCAGCAGCTCCAGTACTCCCAGCACGAGCACCTCCGGGACCCGCGGCACCAGCACCCTCAGCAGCAGCAGAACCTCCAGTACCCGCAGCACCTCCAGCTCCAGCAGCTCGCCTCCAGCGCCGGGCAAACCACTCGCGCAGCTCCTGTTGAGGGAGTTGCTCCCGCCGAGACGAAGCACCCGGAGAACCTCCAGGCCCAGCACCGCCGGACGCCTCACAAGTAGGCCCAGTTCCCTCAGGCTCAGCACCTCCACTCGTAGCACCCCCAGGCTCAGCACCCCTAGGCGTAGTACCCCCAGGCTCAGCACCCCCAAGCTCAGCACCCCCAGGCTCAGCACCCCCAGGCCCAGCACCCCCAGTCTTAGCACCCCCAGTCTCAGCACC